CAAACAGTAATTTAGAACTTATTTGTGAACTTGACCCCTTTGTGCTATCTTCTGCACTACTGACCCTAGCTTACCATGGTACCATCAACCCAAAAGACCTTCTCCCAACCTTGGATAGTGTGCCTCTACAAACTCTCCAAGTAAGCTGCCAAAGTCCTCCCTCCAGATGTGTGTGGGAGATGTTACGATACAACGACAGGACCTCACCACCCTCTACCAAAACCATTGGCTGAATGACAAGGTTAGAAATCATTCCATTTATCTTTTGATGTTTGAACAAAACAATATATTTTAAAGTAATTATCAGCTTGTAAAAAATGCAATTTAAATTTAACCATAAATCAGCTTGATATTTTATTGACCTTCACAATACAACTAATAGCATGACAAGTTTTCCTTTAAAGATTTGAAAACGATGGAAGCATTTATGCCAGTTTAGTAAAAAAAAAAGTTGTTTTCTCCCCCCCCCCCCCAAGATTTCACAATTTAACATAATCTCAATTTGTAAGTATTTAATCTATCCTACACACAAAGTTGAATGAAAATAACTCTTAAACATTAAAGCATATATCTGTACTATTGCATCCTTTCTCCGTATTTATTTTGCGAATTCAGTTACAACGATGTTGTTTTTCCTTTCAGGTCATTCATGCTTATCTTAGCTTACTTCGGTCAGAGTACAATGCTTCAAATGAACGAGGGTGCTTTGTCCTACCTTGTTTCCTAGCAACCAAGTGGGAAAATGATCAATATGATGCATGGCTCTATCCCCAGGTAATTATACAGAATCCTAAAATGCTACTATATACATGTATATCACAGACATGTGATAAAAGACAATCATTCATTATTTTGTTAAATACTAAATAACATAACAGCAAGATAACTAACTTCAAGGCAGAACAATGTATGCCTGTTCCAAGCCAAACTTACATACTTCAAGTCCTTCTGATGAGTATGACATGAAAATATGTTAATAAAAGTATTCCTATATGTAGTGAAAGAAGTAAAGATGACTGTACTTGATAAGCTAAGCTGAGGGAATACATTATATAAAGGGTCATAACTCTATATATTTATGGTGGGATAACAGCGGTTATCAAACTTGTCCAATTTTTCATGGTAATCATTAAACCATTTCAAGTTACATATAAGGATTGATATTTATGCATAAACAATAGTATGAACGCTGAGTTGCCATCAAAGTAATTTTAATTGATTTGTTAAAAGACCAAAATAATAAGCTTTAATGGATAATTATTTGTATTTACCCCCTTCACAAATCAAGGTTGATATGAATACAGCTAAACCAAATAATAACAATTTGTTATCTTTCTTTCAGATTCCTCTTGAGGAATTCCAGTATGTGCTTCTGCCAGTTTGCCAGCAGCAGCATTGGTTTCTGTTGTCTGCGTCAATGACTACCAACACAGTTAGTGTACATGACTCCCTTCCATGCCAGACAAGGAAAGAAAGATTCTGTAGACATTGGATGTAAGTAATATATTTGAAGCTATTTTTTTATATATAAAGTTCAAAACAATGTTGTCCCAAAAATACATCATAATACATAGACCCTTTACAGTAATCCCTTTTTAATCATGACAATCACAATGTTCTAATATAACATGTTGTGTCAATATTTCAACTGTGATGTCATAAGGTTACTTCTGCAGTAAAAGCAATTGGTGTCATTTCTGATTACCCTATTGCATTGTTACATCAGAGAAGTGTGTACATGTATACATATGTAAGTGACTCGTTAAAAGTTTTTAAAAAATCAGTTACCGTAATTTCATATATTACTACATAGAAGGAAAACTCATGGAGGATTCTTTCTTAAACTTAATTCAATAAGAATGTTTCATTATAGGAACTTCATGGCAGCAAGAAGGAATGGAAGTCAGTGGGATATTGGCAGGAACCAATCCAATCGGCAAGCAGATGGCCATTCCTGTGGTGTATTTGCGTTAATGGTAAGCAGATTAAAGAAGAAAATGTAATAATTTCATTATGACAAGGCATTTTTGGAGTTATGAAATATTATGATCATCAAACCTGCACAACAATTTTGAAGTAGTAATGTTCTAATTATTTTTGACTTACATGTACTTTTATGAATTAATAGACTATCAATGGAAATATAAGTTGGCACTTCCAGTTTTACTTTGATCATTTGTAGCTTGTATTTATTTTTAAACATTGCAATGTGAAAGAAACTGATGATACAAGCATGTAGTCCAGTGGGTTTTTTTATGTTATCATTGTACATAACTGTGCATGTATTTAGTGTTCATTGAAATATGACTTAATGCATGACTGCATAATTATGTGTTATTTTTAAGTAGAATTTTGATTTTTATTTCTTTAGAATGCCGAAGCCATCCTCCAAAATTCTACACCTTCTGTCATGCGTCAGTGCCATGCGCAGAGCTACAGGAAGCATGTTCTGAAGCGTTTACTTGCAGAGTCATCACCTCACAACAAGACAGTCTGTGACCTCCCTTTTTGCAGCATGAAAAAAAGGTTCACAGACGTCATCAGTGCAACAGATGCTGCAAATGGGTGCACAAGAAGTGCCTTGGCCTTACAAAATCACAGACAATTCAAAATTGTGTCTTCTGTCAATAGGGCATTTGTGTTCGTTTTCTTACCTGATCTCTGCTGAATGCGTATACTTTATCATAATAGCCATGGCCATAACCAGTTATTAAGTGTTTTGCAAAACTGCATATTAGGCATTCAAAATTTCTGAAATAAAATGGCTCAATTCATACTTTTCTTTGTAAATTTGAAAGTTTAAAGCTTTTCATTCATTTGCAATTAAAATGAAAACTTGGATGATAGGCATTACAAAATAATGCAAAGATATGGTTTTTGGTTGAGCTTTTTATCATCGTAAATCATCTGCAGGTGAAGATTATTGTCACTTTACTAAATTATGCTTTTGAAAGTTTAGTGGTCTAATTGATTTCAATTGTTTCAATTGTTATAATAGTGATGTGATCATAATGATGATGTGATGTGTTGAGAGTCACTGTAAACATTTAGGTACTGCAATGTACTATGTTTGTTGTACTAAGTACTCATTTTCTAACTTCAAAAATGTAAATACCTTATTATAATTAACTGATAAAACAGAAATCCTGTCAATCTGATTTTTTTAAGATTGTGCCAAAGCATTTTTATCATAATAACAAAGTCCTTTATTCTTTCCAATTTTAAACCATCAAGACTTTAAACTAATTGTGATTATGGTAATTTTGATGTTGATGTGAAAAAGCATGTGATTGGTAATTTCTGTTTAAATGGGTGTGCCAATATCACTTGTTTTGCACCTTATTGCTGATTGTTGTTGTTAATGACCTTAATTTATAATAAATATTTATACATAAGTGTTTGGCTTTTTTTATACTATGATGTGCATGAAAGTGAATGGATTGCAATAAACAAGAGGACCAGAGGGCCTGTATCGCTCACCTGGATACCTAAGCAATCATGGCAAAATATTCTCCAAATGAGATCCAAGGGAATATGCCAGACCCCAATGCCAATTCTTGAAGTATGTCTGTATTAGATTTTTTATGCCCAGCAATTTAATGTATGGTTATGGGGTGGGGATCTCAAGCTGTGACTCAGAAACTAGATCCCTAGTGTTGTGGCCAGACCCCAGGATCAATTCTAAGTTCATGACTGCATTCATCTCTTTTTGTCCAGCATTTGTATTTATAGTCTTGGGGTGGGGATCTCAACCGTTTCAAAGTTATGACCCAGGGGTTAAGTCTGCAAAGGTGGGACAGACCCTGGGGTCATTTCTAATAACATGACTGCATTCTTCTCTTTATGCCCAACAATTGTATATATAGTTTTGGGGTGGGGATCTTACCCATTTCAAAGTTATGACCCAGGGGTTAAGTCTCCAAGGGTGGGGCAGACTCAGTAAAAAATAAGATGTTCTGACATATGAGAGGGGGATACAAATCCTACAGCTATAAAAATAAGCTTTTCTGACATACACTAGGGGGATACAAATACTACAGCTATAGAAATAAGTTTTTCTGACATATGGGAGGGGGGATACAAATCCAATGGCTATAGAAACATGCCAGTCTGAAATAAAGCAGGGGGATACCCATTCTTAAGCTATAGGATTAAGATTTTCTGACAATGGGAGGTGGGATACAAATCCTACGGCTATACAAAAAAAGCTTATCTGACATAAACTAGGGGGATACAAATACTACAGCTATAGAAATAAGTTGTTCTGACATATGGGAGGGGGATACAAATCCTGCAGCTATAAAAATAAGCTTTTCTGACATACACCAGGGGGATACAAATACTACAGCTATAGACATAGGCTTTTCTGACATAAACTAGGGGGATACAAATACTACAGCTATAGAAATAGGCTTTTCTGACATAAACTAGGGGGATACAAATGCTACAGCTATAGAAATAGCCTTTTCTGACATAAACTAGGGGGATACAAATACTACAGCTATAGAAATAAGTTGTTCTGACATATGGGAGGGGGGTACAAATCCTACAGCTATAGAAATTAGCTTTTCTGACATAAACTAGGGGGATACAAATCCTGCAGCTATAAAAATTAGCTTTTCTGACATAAACTAGGGGGATACAAATCCTATGGCTATACAAAAAAAGCTTATCTGACATAAACTAGGGGGATACAAATCCTACGGCTATACAAAAAGCTATTCTGACATATGGGAGGGGGTAAACAAATCCAATGGCTATAGAAATTATCATATGTGATAAGAATGCAGCCAGTAAAGGTACATTTTCTCGGTTAGTTTGATGAGAAAAATTTCAAAATTTACAAAAACCATTCTTTGAACTTGTATATTTTCACCTTTATATAGATTATGCAAGGTTTCATTTCAATACGTAAGGTGTTTAATGATTGAACATATTGTCTGAATATCTATCAATTTTACTTCCTTTTTTTAGTAGAAAACAATAACTTGATGGCTTTTGTTACAACCAATGAATAGATGTTTGGAAGATATTATATATATATTTGAGATAAAATCAGATATTTCACTAAAAATATGCATGTGTATGTCAAATTTTATGCCTTTCACTTGAATTCCCCCCCCCCCCTCCGAAAAAGTACATTTTGTTGAAATTGAAAAGTTAAATTATGCGCATAATACCGTTAATAAGATTAGAAAATATAATTAACAGGTTTTTCCTATGAAATAATTATTTTCAATATCTCACAAAAATACTAATTCTGTTTTATACATATTATATTTATATTTATTATATGTAGCACCACATTATTATATCTACCCATATGCAGTTAAATATAGATAGTTCAAGTTCTTTATTAGGCCATGAGCAATTTTGCTCATCAGCTTATCGATCAAATTACAAGATATGTCATGGCGTACAATCAGTGCAAAGAAAATGCTGTATAACTAGATCATGTAGTAATAATGTATAATTACTTAAGTATGGTTTCTTGATCTCAACTTTTTTGCTTCAAAAATAAACTTTCATTAATTAATTCCTTATTGTTCTGTACACTTAATAGCTGTGTTAACTTGAAGACAGATGACCTACGCCAGTAGTACCTTTTAATGAATTTAACTCTCAAAATTTGATAAAAAGTCATTTTATTTGATAAGGTCATATCAGTAAATCATAATTAACAACGTCGAAACATCGACGAGTATTTTCTATATTGTAATATCACTGTCACTAACGTCAGGTGTAACATCGTGTTTATTACACTATGGCAGTGTATTTTATTGTTCTTTAATGTTCTACTAGATTGTATTTGTATGTAGCTATATTAAATCCTGTTATCATTACCTGTAACGTACATCATTGAAAGTTATCATAGTATTATTATCATTGTAATATACTATTGTTATGATGCATGATTTCACTGTATAGGAACCTTACGATGTTGGTGTATTTCAGTGTAAAATGCTGTTTCTTATTATATGTCATTTTGAAGTACTGCATGATTAATGAATTATCACGTATGCCATTGCACAATATGCATCATATTTCATTCGACTATTATTGTATACATGTACATTGTAATTTTGTAATATACTATACTATTTGTATGGCTACTCTCCGATTTGTCTTACACAAGGAATAAAACAATATGAATCTGAAAAAAAAATGTGCAGGTAACACTGAAATAATGACAATTAATAATAATTTTGTTTTCACATAGATAGGCATAGTTATTTCATAAGAATTAATTAATACACATACAGTCTGTATAGAAACCTTGTCACAACACTTATTATCTATACATACACCTGTCAAGTCCAATTGGCCAGCCTGTGGAGTGTATAGATAGATATCACACCTCCATTCATGACTGCCCCCACCCCTCCCCATTGTCATTGTAGGTGAAATTCAGGCTCACCAGGTAAGAAGATGAACACATTAAACACCTATATATATAAATGTTAAAAAATGTTAATAAGCAACAAATTCAAACTGCATGTATGTTTACTGTACCAGCATGTCATGATTATGACTAAAGATCACTATATATATTTTAAATATATATATATCTTAATTTTATATCAATTAGTTAAATTAAAGCTCTATAAAGTAAACCATTAATGTTTGTGTAAGAATTGATCAATTAAAACATG